GCAGCCAGGACCCAAGGAGCTGTTTTCCTCCATTGTGCAAGCATGACAAATCATTAATTTTTGATTGATTTGCTTAGAATTATGGGCGCCCCAGCATTCTTTCCGCCGCTGAACAGCTGTATAACAAATGAATATATCAGTGTGCACAAAAGATTGGAGATCTAAGAGAAGCAATTACATTGGCCACCCTCCCCCACCCTCACCCCTTCCGGGGCAGTGAAGGGAGGAAATTTTTACCAGAAATTCCTCAAGTGGCTTAAAGGGGGAAAAAAAAAAGCCTTTTTATAATTGAATTAAATCTTTATCTCTTCATCTTTTGCAGCAGATTTCCAAACACACACCAGTTCCCCACGTGCTTGGGTTTCATCCATCCAGGAGGAATCTTTAATAATGAAATTTCAACTCGTGAATTAAAACCAAAATGAAAAAAAAAAAAGCAAATTCTAGCCCTCCTCTTTGTTTTTTTTTTTTTTTTTTCCTTCCGGTCTCTGCTATTCCTTTAAGATTTTGGAACCGTACCAGTGCACTAAATGTGACCTCCATAACTTTTAAATTAAGAATTTATGCTGGCTTGAAATTTATGAAATATTTCAGCATGAAAGAAAGCCTTTTTCCCTCAGGAAAATTGAGCAATAAATCACAGCACTGTGGATTTACTGCCCTAGAGCCAGCGAGAGATAGGATTTTTTTTTTTTTTTTTTGCTTCATTCTGAAAAAAAAAATGTAATCATATAAGACAGCTTAGCTGCTATCCTCCCACTCTCTAGAATTTTTAATTTCAGCTGTTTCTGCTTGGATTTATTTCCAATATTCCTGCTCGGCTTTTCAATTTCCTCAGTTATTAAATTTTAATTCAGTGCATTAGCATTTAAATTAAAAAAGGGTTTATTTTATCGAAATCGTTGGCCAGCCCCCATCCCGTAGCACACGAATTGCCTGTTTCTGCCATTTGCACAAAATGTGAAATGCAGCTTATGTATTACAACTTACATTTGCACAAATTTAGAAATAAAATTTCTGGGTTTGGAATAATATTTTCTTTCCAAGAAAATCCTTAATAAGAGAATGGAAAAGAACAACTTAACATTCATTTGGGAGGGAAGAGGAGGGTCAAACGAAACCAAAAATAGCCTTGCCCAGGTCCTAGGGAGAAGCTGGTGTGTAGGGAATGGATAGGGCTAGGAAAAGGGGACAGGTACCCTTATGGGGAGCTGAAGGGTTGGGTATCTTTACCCCCACCTCTGTGAGAGTGAGCAGCAGGGCCTCTCATGGCCCACTGTCCCCCAACACATTTCATTTGCCATTGAGGGGTTTGGTTGAGGTTGGGTCAACTCCACAGAGAATGACAGATGGAAGTAGAGGGTGGAGATGATCTGGTTTAACTCTCATGCTCCTGTCCCCATTTTTGCCTATGGAGAATCTCAGGTCCAGGGAAAGGAAAGAGCTTGCCCAAGGTTCAAAGTGAGACCCAGACAGAGCCTGGGCAGGAAGCTGCATATCCTCTAGGAGCACAGGGCCCAGTGGTGGCGGCAGCCGTAGACTTTCCATTACTTAAACGATTACAACAGGTACCTGGCCTGCGCTTAGTACTTTACCTGCATTGCGGTATTCAGTGGCTGGGGGTCGGGTGGAAGCTCCTGAGATGCTGACTGGCAGTAGGGGTTCGGATCAGGCCTGACACAGACTGGGAAGACCCCTGGTGCTGTCCAGGCCAGCTCTGCCACTTGCTCATCTGCTGGGTAATCTTATTCTAGTCACTCCATTTTTCTGTGCTTCAGTTTCCTGGACCCAATACATGGTGGCCTTGGTAACTGAATCTAGTGTTAATGATTATCATTATTATAGCTGAGCCCATGCTAAGTATTTTTACATGTGTTAGTATATTTAAGTTACCTTGTTTTAAGTCTCATGCCAGCCCCATGCGGTAGGTCCTGGGATTACTGTATTGCCATTTTGCAGATGAGGGAACTGAGGCCTTGTGAGTACAAATGAGTTGCCTAGGAACATAAAACCAGACAATGGCAGAATCAGGACTCGAACGCAGACCAGCTGAGTCTAAGCCCAGTGCTCTTAAACTTTGGTTCAAATTGAGATCAAGTCAGGTTACCCTGGGTAAAGGTGAGTTTGTGGTTTAGGTTGAGTCGCATGAATTTGCTAGTGTTAGACTGTTTGGGCCTAGGAAAATGGCAGTGTCAGGATCTGAACAGTAGGGATCGCTATGGTGTGCTGCTTGGTGAGGACACAGACCAAGCCACCTGGCACCTTAGGCATCTCTATGACTTAGAGTCGGCACCTTTAGCACTATGGGCTTCAACTAGGCCTGGGAGGGCCCAAGAGGTTGTCCCCTGTCATTATGGTGGATCTAGACTCAGCCAGGCCCAGGTGCTGTAACTGACAGGTGCTACGATACTGACACATGCTGTCGACACCTGACATGCTTGTTGTCCAGCTCTAAATGGACAGTTTACACCCTGCCGAAGTAGCACTCCTCCAGCAGTTCGTTTTCCCCCGTGCCACCGTCTTAGGCTGTCCAAAGGGATTTGTTTGGAGAATTATTTGAACATGTTGAACATTTTCTTTATTTTATAAAATAGAGTGGAAGCCCGGCTGGCATGGCTCCGTGGACTGAGCATCATCCCATGGACCGAGTGGTCCTGGTTTGATTCCCAGTCAGGGCACATGCCTGGGTTGCAGACTTGATCGCCAGTAGGGGGTATGCTGGAGGCAGCTGATTGATGTTTCTCTCTCACATCAATGTTTCTCTCCCTTCCTCTCTCTCTGAAAAAGAAATAAAAAAAAACATATAAAAAAATAGGGTGGAAAACAAAAATGAGTGTTGCTAGTAGTGATAACAAAACTCAAGTATCATAAGCATCATGAAAGGGCAACATGGCTGGGGATGATAGGTATGCCGAAAACAGAGCGTCTCCTCCCCTGCGCACCCAGCCACATGTTCATTGCACTTGAACGGTTGGCTCTGTGTGAAATTACGAAGGAAAAGGATGAAAAAAGACAACATTAAAAATATGTATGAAATGCTAGAAATAGATGCCCAGAGTTTAGTCTGAAAGACGAGAGGTCATTTGGGATTTTTCAGTTTTTTTAGGGTCTCTGGGGCAGAATTTCCAACCCCTATCACTTCTGCCTCTTATGCTGTGGGCATGAAAACAATGTCTTCCCGCCGCTTTACAGACAAGTTTGGAGGAATGCCGTTTCCAAGAGGCTGTAATTGATCCTGTTCTTTTGCTCCCAGTGAAATGATATGCAAACCATTTTCTGCTTTGTTTCTTCTGCTGAAATAATACAACAGCATTCCATTAATTTTTCCCGCTCAGGCCTCTCCATTCATTGGTCCTTCACCTTTCTACTTCCCTTGTGTGGGCAATGGGGGTGATGTGGGCTCACCCCATTTCCTGATTGACTCTCCTGAAAGTTGGCAGGAGGTAAAATATTACAGAGCTGAGGAAGGAGGCACTGGAGTGACCCAGACCTGGGGGGTGTTGGACAAATGACATAAGGACCCTGTGTGCCTCACCTGTAAAATGGGAATATTGTGTATGTGTATTGAGGGCCTATTGAGAGGATTAAATAAGGTATTTGCTGGCCAGGCACTAGCACCTGCTGGGAAGTTCTTCACCGGGGAGCGAGTCTGGATGCCCACAGGGGCCAGGCTAGAGGCCTGGGTGGGAGGCAAGAGGCACAGGTGGAGACTGTAGAGAACCAGGCATGTCAGCTCTAGTTGACTGTGGCCATGTGGGACTGTGTGTTGCTGTATTAACTGGTTTTTAAAGAGAAGTTGGAATGTGGCCTTTTGCGGGGTTGGGGGTGGGCAGGGTAAATGCCTTTATTTTTACATATTTACTCTCTGGATCAAAGTCTGCCATCTGGTTTTGCCAGTTTGCAACTTCCCGTAAGCACTCGTCAAAAGGTAGCTGCTGCTGTTTTTATTCTGGGTCCTGAAATTCGAAAAGCTTGAAAACAAAAAAGATTTCTTGTAACCGACGAAGTGGCAGAGCTTGACCTGAGGGAGGAGAGGCTAGTTGCCCTCTTCATTTCTCCCGGGCAGGGCGGACTGCATACCTTCACTGTAGAAATATCAGTGTGCTTGAGTTCTGGGGCCTCTCCAGACCCTGCCAGGGTTGTTTCTAAATATAGAACACATGTGCCAACATTACCTTGCTAAAATTGGAAGGATTCTGAATTTGGGAGCAAATGTGTGTGAGAGTTTTGAACCTACATTATATGAACTATGATCACTATTATAAATGTTTCCACAAAGCTAGGGAATGCTTCTGGCTGAAGAAGCATTCCCTAGCCTGGGCGTTCCCCCCACGTCTGCAGCCTCCACATTAAGGTCCCCCCAGCAGTGGCCTGGGAGTCAGGATCCCCAGGTATTTGTCATTCAGTCCTCATGAGACTCCAGACAGCCCCTTGTTCGCCCAGGGCCTAGGTCTCTCCGTCTGAACCAAAATTTTATGATTTCTGAAAATTTCATTTGGTCAGCCTTATTTCTCCACCTCCCACCCCCAAATAAGAAGATTAAGAACTGGCACTCTCTTACCTCCCCCTGCTTGGAGGGCTGGGGGAGGGCAGAATATTTTAACATAAGTAGATTTTCCCCCTCAGCTTGGTAGGAATAAATCTGCAGCTACTGTTTTATTGGAAATCCCAGCTGAAAATAAAAATGGTGCAATTCAATCTCAGATTTAGCTGGTTACTTACTTTTCACTGAGTCCCCAGGGCTCTGTGGTTGCTGGGTTTGTGTTGGCAATGGGTGCTCCGCTGGATTTAAAGGGCCAAGCAAATTTGGATCGGAGGTGTGCTGACTCCCTCTCACCACTGGGGGCAGATTTTTCCAGCCTAGAGGAATGGAGCAGGGGGTGGCGGCCAGCTCACCCCTGTGTCTGACAGCTGGTGCTGAGCAGCAGCCTGATGGGTGGCAGTGGGTGGAATCCGTCCTCCCCCTTGGCTAATGCAGGTGTTTTGGGTTTCTCTTGTAGGCTGACGGAGCCAGTGCGGCTGGAAGGAAAAGCACGGCGAGCAGGTACACGCCCCCCACCCCAGCCTCACAGCTTAGCGGAGATCTCTTCCTGGTTCTCCTCTTCCACCGGAAAGGAGGGATGGTCCAGGCCGGCCCCCTTTGCGAGAAGTATCCGTTCTTCCCTGGAGGGTGTGCAGTTGTGGGCAGCACTTTCCAGCTCTCCTGGCGTCCTCCGTGGGCACCTGCGACTGGAACCAAGGGTGACCCAATCCAGAATTGGGCCTTTGGCTGCTTGAGTTGGGGGGAACTTAGGGCTGAAGCACAAGACTGGGCAGAAAGACCTGGGCTTGAATTCCATCTCATCTCCTTCGTGGTGAATTCCAGGGGAGCCAACCCCCTCCTAGTCTGGAATCAGCTGGCCTGGCTTAAGTCCTTTGCTTGCCCCCCCGAACTGGTCACTCCAAAGCAGGGGAATGGAATACCCTGCTGAGCCAGACCAGGGGTGGATCCTCACCCTTGGAGCTGGCAGGAGATGGGGAGGGGTGGTCCCCAAAGGAAAGCTAGGCTCATTACCAAAGAAGGGAGGAAGGGATACTGGCTGGCCCCCGCAGTGGATGTCCATCAGTGGCACAGGCAAGCACTTGATAGACGTAGTCCTGCTGCTGGGGCTGTTCCCTTGGGCAGACTTTATTTGGGGCATTGGAGGCAAGAAGTGAAGAGACAGATGAGAGATGGCCCCCCAGGCCACACCTGTGATCTGGAAGAGGATCTAGGATTACCTACCGACACTGGGGTCAGATCGTGAATGTCAAGCAGAGGAGTTTGCCCTTTAGCCCATGAAACACTCTTTTTAAAATGTTAATAAATTTTTGTGGGACAAAAGGGGTTCTGTGGCCAAATAAGTTTGACGGACAGTGTAAGGTTAAACAAAGTCAAGCAATTTCTTCACGGTGTAACTTTTCAGAGCCTTTCATGTGCCAATAATGTGTATGATCGAAAACATGAGAGAGAGAGGGGGAGAGAGGAGAATGTCATGTTTCTCAAACTTAGGGAGCCATAGAACCCTTTTATTGAGGTTCATCGCATGGAGAGAGTGTTCCTTGGGATAGCCTTTGGGAAACCATGGGAGCTGTTCAAGTTCTCTGAGCAGACAGTGCCACGTTTCAGGGAGAGCACCCTGGCAGCTGTTTGCGGGTAGAGTGGAGGGATGACAGCAGGGTGGAGGGCATTGTGACCCACACAGCCCAGCCTGGGGCGGCTCCCATCCACCTCCCCGGTGTCCGTCTCCCCCCTCGTTCAGTCTGTGTTGGCTTCTCTGACCTCTGTATTTATCTAATACTCAGTCCGGGGTCAGCCAAGTTTACCTGTGGAGGGTCAGATAGTAAATACTTTATGTTTCACAGGCCGTAGTCTGTGGCAACTTCTCCGCTCCGCCCGTGTGATGCCCAAGTGCCATAGAGAAGACAGTACACAGACGGCCACGGTCTGCGGGCCCTGCCTCAGAGTCTCTGCAACTGCTGTTCCTTTGCCTGGAGTGTTCTTTTCTGGATCTTCCCATAATTAGGGCCCTTTCATACGTCAGGCCTCAATTCCATCCCGCTCCCCAGAGAAGCCTTCCCTGACCCCCTTCTTCAAGAGCCTGTGGCCTGTTCACGCTCCATAAATATTGCACTTATTTGTGTATTTTTCTCTGCTTCTCTAGTGCCAGTCGGCGAGGGTCACGTCCGTGTTGTTCACTGCTGGGCGGGCGTGTAGCAGGTGCTCAGTGCTTCCGGGCCAGCTCTGCTGGACGAGGTGGGAGTGATGTGGGAACGATGTAGGGACTGGCGTGTGGGCTGGCATGGAGGGGTGGATGGCCAGGCTTGTGAACACAGGTGTGACCCATGTCATGACCAGCAGTTGCTCAGTGCCTTGTGCCTCTCCCCTCTGGCCCTGGGAGGAGTCTTCGTTAGGACAGTGTAGGAAGCCATGGCCTGCGGGCCCGCGTCTTCAGAAGAGTGGTGCCTGGAAGTGCTTCTTGGAGTGTTGGGACCGGAAGGGGCCTTGGGCTTTGTCTGGCCCCTCCCTCTCATTGTGCCCCTGGGGAGGAGAGGCCCTCAGGGTCTTGGCTGTGTGAGGTCTTGAACCTCCCACAGTCGGGGGCTTTCTCTGCTCACCGATAGTGTGCTCAGTGAGGGTCTAGCAGGCCCCTTCCCCCGTCCTCCCACATTATTGAGCACCTGCCAGGTTAGGCCCAGTGCTGTGTGCTGTGCACTTGGATGGAGTTGATGCGAATTTATTCATGTAACGGACATGTAAGTGTCTGCCGCATGGCCGGCACTCTGCAAAGGGCTGGGTCTGCAGACAAGGCTCCATCCGTTTCTCCTGCTTCTCATGCGGATGCGGGCCTTGCCTTTGTGCGTGAATCTCCCAGACCGGCATCTGCCCGTTGATCAGAGGACAGCAGGTGGGTTTCCCCATGGCCCCGGGGCTGCCCGAAGCTCTGTATTGAGGCTTACCAGCCCACAGCAGGTTAGAGATGCCTGCCCCGCCTGGGGAGCGGGCTGGCGCCATGCATGCCATCCCTTTGCTCCCTCTGACTAGCCTAGGCAGACCCGCATTATTACCAAGATGCCAGAATATATACCAGGAAGGACCAGTCCAATCCTTAAGGTGACTTGAACTTTCTAATAATAGTGAGTACCATTGAGTCAGCTCTTACATGTCAAATCCGGGCTGACTGACGTACATATATGAATTTACTCTTAATTTATGTAATCTTCGTAATAGCCTTAAGAGGGAGGTGCCCTTATTATTCCCACTTTACAGATGAGGAAGTTGAGAGAGGGTTCAGGCTGCCCCGCTGGAAGTGAGCAGTACAGCCAGGATGCTCAGCCAGGTCTGACTTCTCTGATGCATATGTTTAACCACTGTGCCCTCTCACTTCTTGGTGTGAAGTGGTCAGTTAACAGGTGTTAATGGAGACTACTGGGGGCCAAGGGCTGTGCCATAGGCTGGGGGCTTGTTGAGAAGGCAGGGACTCCAAAGGAGCTAACAAGTGAGTTTATATTGATTCTGTCATTAAAGCTAATAGAGCATCTTTGGAAGACCAAAGCAGTATTATATAGTGACCCAGCATTCAGTCTGAGAAGGGACTTATGTATTAAACATTAGAGAATGTCATTGAAGGCCTTAGCTGATGCTGGTGTATTTGACCCCAGCCTTGGGTTAGAATGGCTGGGTGGAACATTAGACTCACTAAGTCTCTGTTTCAGATGGGGAAACAAAGGCCCAAGCCTCCCTGAAGTCACAGGTAGGCTAGATGGCCCTGGTCAGGAATGACCTTGAAGGACCCATGACCCTCTGACATGGGCTTCCACTCAGCTCCCATCCAAGCCACAGAACACTCGATTACCTCCTGGGGTCTGCTTTAGTCCCAGCTCCTTCCCTTTGGCCCAGAATTTTGTTACTTCTCCAGAGGGCCTCTGGCTAAACCCCAAAACCAACAGCATATGGGCTGCTAAGGAATTAGTGTTAAATTGAGGGGGATAAGGAAAGGTGGTGTTTCTGATCCTAAGAGACAACCGAATGTGGTTTGGTTTACTCCCCTGTAACCCAACCTGGGTCAGTTTTACAAGACCAGTGATCCCAGCACTTGAGGTTAATGCTGACCTGGTGTGCAGGTTACACATCATGGACACAGCTCAGCCAAACCTCACTTATTCTCAGGGGCATGGGGCTGTGCGGCCTTGACTGTGGAAAATGCTAAAGGAAATGTGGTTTTTATAATCAAGTAAATGCAGCTACAAGCTTGCTCTAATGAAGAATTATGCTTTTCTTTTGTCAGTTGAAGGTTTTCAGAGCTGGAAGGACTCTAGAGATAATCTAGTCCAACACTCTCATTTTGAGATAAGGAAATCAGGGATGGAGGAGATTAAGGGACTCATTTGTTCACTGGGTATACCAGTTGCCTAACAAATGGTCAGGATCAAGTAGACAGGGGGATTGCTGGGGCGGGGAAAGATGAGAAATAGTCTCAGTCATTCATTCCACAGATACTGAGCACCTGCTAAGGGCCAGAGTCTGTCCTAGTGCTGGAAATACAGCAGTGAACAAAGCAGACAGAGTCCCTGGCCTTGTAGAGCTGATGTTCTAGTGGGAGTTGAGGAGACATAATAAATACATAAAATATGTGGTTTGTCATGTGGCAAAAGTGCTGTGGGGGGGAAAGTAGGCAGGGGGATTAGCGAACCAGAGGGAGTATTGCATCACTAGGAAGGTGACATTTGAACAAGGATCTGAAGGAGATGAGGGACTGAGCCAAGCATTCATGGGGGAAGCACATTTCAGGCAGAGAGAACAGTAGGTGCAAAGGCCCTGGGGCAGGAATGTGTACATCATTTTGGAGCAACAGCAAGGAGGCTGATGTGGTTGTTTAGGGCCTTGGAGGCTGTTATCCTGTGTGAGGTGGGGAACCACTGGGGATTTTGAGCAGAAGAGTAACATGAATTTGGCTTTATTTAAAAAAATTTTTTTAAATTATAAATTTGGTTTTAAAAGGATCATTCTGGCTACCAGGAGAAGAGGTAACAGCAGGGGCCAATAGATTATCAGAAGTGTTGCTAAGGGTTCAGGACAGGCAGGATCTTAGAAGGTAGGCTTGGAAGTGAGTTTCTAGAAGGTTATTTTATCCAGACCTAAGGACTCCAGTTTCACAAAGAACTGTGTGAGTCCTGCATCCAAAGTGCACAGCTTCCTGATTGGTCTTCGGAGGGTGTGGAATAGCCATAACCCGTGTGGCTCCAGACAGCTATCTTCCTTGTCCTCTTTCTAGCCCCACTAAGGGCCAGGCAGTTTAGCACAGTGTTGAAGAGCCCAGGTGGCCTGGGTTCAGATTTTGGCACTGTCCACCTCCTGGATATGTGACCTTGGGCTAGTTACCTGACCTTACTCTGTTTCTTCATTGGTAAAATGGGGATTGTACTAGTACCTCCCTCATAGTGTTGTGAGTGATAATGATATTAATAATTTAAATGTTACTATTATTGTGTAATAATACTTTATATACCCTTAGCACAATGTCT